ATCTTCGACTCTTAATATGGAGAATATAACCCGTTCGACTGTCTAACGTTTTCCCGTCTAGTCCTCACGATTTTGACCATTTTCTGGGCTAGAGTTGAGCTGCAAGCTATGATGTATATGCCTTGGATATCTCTACGTTCAGGTCCTTCGCTTGGAGAAAGTGATCTAGCACTCGACTACACCACGATGCTTTTACCTCTTGTTTTCTCCAGGTCATTTCGTCGGAGGCATTACCTTGTTTTCCTGGTGGCTTCCATTTCTGCCTTGCTCAAGGCCCAAATCATCCTTGCCCCTGGATTGTACAGCCTCACGGAACTCCAAGTTACACGCCCTATCGACGTCCTTTTACAAGACACCTTTGATTCGGTGACACCAGAAACTACATACACGCCGGACGCGAGCGTCTACTACAGGGCAAGGGCACAATACGACTTCAACGTCGACTATCCATATGGGGTCGCGGAAGGTTTTGCGTTTCAAACGTTTTACACCGGGAGTGAGTTCAGTCGAGGAACTGTCGCCAACCCAGTAACGGCCACCGTAGATGGGCTTTTCCTAGGCACCCAATGCGTTAAGTTGAACTCCTACGCAATCTTGGAACAGCACAACATCGCCAACTATCAGGGCAGGGGCTTATATATGAACTTTACCGTGGAGCTTCAGTTTGATGGTTGCGAAGAACCATTCATCGTCCCGCATTTCGACGCCTGGCCCTCTCCGAGACTGAATGCCACATTCTGGGGCTTGCAAACGGACTCAAAAGTCGCCCGACCCTGTTCCGGATTACCTTTACAAGCCCCGGCTTTCCTATACTACAATGGGGTATTCAAGCTACAGAGCGATAACTCGTCTGAGTATCTACATCCACCAGCCGCTGTAATCTGCGAGCCTCACGCTTGGTTGTCGAAAGTGCAGGTCACCGACGATGGACTGAAGCCGACAGTGATGGCAGTCTATGATGAGCGACGACCTTTGTTCACGCCAAACATCATGACAATGTTCAACAACTCACTCCCGCCCAAGGACATCTGGCACGCGGATACAGTTTCAGGGTGGACTGGTCCGCTCAGTGTTGATCTGAGGTTCAGGGGTCACGCGACTACCGAGTTCCCAGAGGTTGTGACGACCGACATGTTGCAAGATTCATCCCAGAACATTACACGAAGGCTTGGACCATTCGCTAGCCACTACCACCTTCGACAGAAGCAAAGCTCCGGTGGAAGTGGTACATCGCTGCAGCGTATCGTTCGCCTCACCATAAACCCCAAGATTTGCCTAGCGATGATTGCGCTCTTCATTTTCAACGCCGGCATCACTGCGTTTCTGCTCTGGCGTTATTATCACGACACCTCGGTCTGGCACCGCGATCCGGCAACGCTCCTCGGAAATTCAATGTTTCTCAGTAATCATCCCGACATCACGAACCGGACTGCAGAAATCAAAGGCCCATCGCCGGACTGGAAAAGTGGCGCCTTTACGCCCTTGGTTTTGAAAACGACATCACGCGTAGTATTCTGCATCTTCACCATACTGCTCGCGAGTAGTCTCATTGTTACCCTCCGACATTCCGAGACATCGGATGGGCTTGCAACCATTGATGAAGACGGTTATTTACACCTAATGTGGACTTCCTTCCCAGCTACCATAGCACTCGGAGTATCCCTCTACATCAGCTCTTGCGATTGGTCATATCGTGACCTCGCGACTCTCTACCATCTCTCTAGATCCGCGTGTAACTCTTGCGACCTTGACCGCTCTCTGTTGGATATGCTGGGACTACGCGCGCTGTACTACTCTTTCCGTTACCGTCTCTGGTCTGTCACGGTCTCTCAAAGCCTGGCCCTCGTGTGCGGGATACTCACTTCCCTTATCTCCATTATCTTTACAGTCGAAATCATACCCGGGTCGACACCAATTCAGTTCCAACAAAAGACTTGGTTTCAAATACGAGACAACGTTGGGTACGAGCTTGACTATACAGCGAAACAAGAAATGTTCAATGGTCTCTGGACCCGTCGGGAGGAAGGCTCTTTGACTTATCCGGAAAACACGTTCGACAATCTTTTGTTCCATGATTTAGAAAGCATCGACATCCTTGACCCATCCAAGAACCTTTCGGTTGCAATCACAACACCAGCGACCAAGGTCGAGTCTCAGTGCACCCAGCTCAGCGAGGATACGTACGACATCAGCCATTATAACACGACCACGACAAACGGAACAGTAGCGTATTACGCCGCCGTAGTTGTCACATTTTGTGATCCTGGAAACGACAAGCCTAGAAGGATCAAAAAAGACATCGACCTCGGTATAACTGACCCGGCTGATCCGCTGGGAAGCATATACTTTTCAGGCATGCTTCAGACGCAAGCGAACCCAGTCGTGGACGGCTGCATGCTCGAGAGCCAGCTGGCGCACTCAAATTTGACGACGGCTTTGTACCCTACCTATGTTTGGGGAGCGTTTGACCCGGCTCAAAACAACTTCTCCTTTGTCGCCGTTTGGACGTGTAAATATTCTTGGGTCGAAGTCGACGCGGAAACGAATCTGATCTTCTCCGACGGCCGTCTCGCCATCGACCCGGAGAACCCCCCACGGCCAGATATGGCCTCCATGAGGCCCCTGGACCCCACGCTTGATCTGAACACTTGGTTTGCCATGTACCCAGAAGTCGATCTCGGCGGCACAGGAGATCAGTTCAAGGGGGTGGAGGGTCCCTTCCGACCACTGATCAAGCCGTATGGGACGCTAGACATGTCGGCATTCGGAGATGAGGGACAGCAGGCGGACGTGATGCAGGACATATATCACAACTACGCCCTCAGCTCGGCGCAACTTGCCAACGTCGTGAACCGTAAATTCATCACCGCCGAAAGTGGACCCGCACCGGCCCCGGTTGTGGAGGCGACCGTGTATGATAATGGCCGCCGCCGGCTCGTACAGAACCCGACCATCACGTATATTGTGGTAGGTATTCTGGGGGCTGTCATCCTATTCAACATCTGGGCGCTGGTGTCGGCCTTGATCCGGTGCTGCGGCGGCGGGGATAGCTGGCTGCTGGATATGGATGCGAGGGGCCTCGCGCCGGACGGGTTCCACAGCATCGCCTCGGCAGCCAGCTTGCTCCAGAACTCCAACGTGGCGACTCATCTGCCGCCTGGTTCTGAGATGATGTCGTCGGATGAGGTACACGGGCATATGCACGGTTTGGATTTCCGGTTGGGGTGGTTCCGGAGGGAGTGCGACCAGACGAGGCACTATACGATTGGTGTTATGGGTGATCCGGCGTTTCATTACATGGGTGTCAGAAGGAGTTCAAAAAGGGCTTCGGCAGGGTCTTTCAGGAAGGAAAGCGTGCTTGGGTAATGACAGACATGGCTTCTTCATTACGATGCGTGTATGAAGGAGATGGGGCCGTCGAAATCTTGATGTTAAAGTACCTGGATAGATCAAGACTCATCCTCAAATATAGAATAATGAATACTCGCAGACACCGCAAAATTCGGCATGTCCACAATCTCCGCAATCTTCAAATCAGCCGCAATGCTGCACAGCATATACGCCTCCTCCCTCTCAAGCCCCCTCTCCGCAACAAGATACGCAATCAAACTCCTCAACGCCTTCCTACTCGCCTCCAACAAGTCAGAATCAATCCCCAGCACCGCATACACGCCACCTTCATCCTCCCCCTTATGGCCGCGAGCATGCACCGACCCGCGCGTGTCATAGTGCGGACTCGTCACATACGGCATATCCTCCCGGACCGTAAACCGCAACGTAGCTTTCATCGGCGTCTCGATCGCCGTGCCGCACACTTCCCCGTCTCCTTGCGCGGCATGCCCGTCCCCGCAGGAGAAATTCGCCCCCGGGACGCGGATGGGGAGGTAGAGTCTCGTTCCGGCCGTGATGTGTCTGCAATCTATATTCCCGCCCGTATCCAGCGGCGGAATCGTCGGGAACGGACCTGCCTCAGCCGGTGATACCCCCGCTATCCCCAGAAACGGACGCAGCGGGATCTTGATGCCTGGTTTAAACACGATATGCGTCGCGTCCTCGTCCCAGTGGAAGTGCTTAATGACATGATTTGGAAAGTCGTCTGCGAGGAGTCCAAAGCCGGGGAGGACTGCGGTCCAGCCCCAGCCCGTAGAGGGTTTGAGGGAGAGGAATTCGATTTCGAGGACGGAGCCTGGGTGTGCGGCGGCGATGGCGACGGGGCCGTGGATCGGGTCAAAGGTTGCGAGGTTTAGGGTCGCGAGGGAGGTTGGTGTTGTGGAGGGAGTGATTCGGCCGCCGGAGGAGTCGTGGAGGTCAAAGGTCACGGGCTGGTTTTGGGGGACGGTGAGGAGGGGAGGGGTTTTGCTTGACCAGTGGAGGGTTGGGTTTGCGGATGTGATGTGGAAGGAGGGGGCCATTTTCTTGGGGCGGGGGCTATGAGGAGTGTGGTTTGGAGAAATCCTGTCGGAGATGTTTGAGTGAGTTTTGATGGTTTTGTGAGGCTTGTCTTGTTGTCGGTGAGATTAGGAACGAGGTCCTCCGGGGGAGAGAACGGAGGTTGATGGCGGGTGGGGTTGCTTATCGGCGGTCGGATGCGGGGTTTCGGGGTTTGAGGGATGAGTGACGTACCTTTATCCCGGCACGGAGCGGGTCTGGTATACGTATCTACCGAGTCTCCGGTAGGTGATCGGAGTTTATCTTTCTGGTAAGGCTGATGAGGGATCTCGAGCCTGGCATTCATGACCTCTTCGTTTCTGTCATGGCATCAACCATATCAGGTAACTGTTGGAGTGGCAGTCATCAGGTTCATGCATCATTAATGGGGGGGACAGCTGTGTGCTCCATGAACGGAATATGGCCCATAATCGTGACATCGTATTCCAGTTGCTTCGTCATTAACTGTTGAGTTGTTGGCACAACTTGACATAAATACACTCTATCTCCCCTTTTCATTCACCTTTTGCGTAACCAAAGGCTCGTCCGTAGATGCCCCAAGGCCTCCCAAATCACAGAATCTCAACAGGCCCAAAAACATTCCAAGAATCCTGACTCCCAACCATGCTCTCAACACTCAACCCCTTCGCCCGCTCCGCAAGCAACCCACCGCCCAGAATCCCAGCAACCTGCCTCGACAAAGTCGACTTGCGCCCCAAATACCACAACGCCTTGACACAATCCTCACACCGATCCAACGCCTCCACCACAACCTCATCCCCAACACCCAACCCACCACCAGCCTCCTCAAGCAACAACGTCCCCGCCATCGCAAACGACCGAATCAACACCATAGTCCACGGCTCCGTAAGCAAAGCCCCCTCCTTCACAGCCGGGTGAAAATCCAACAACACACCCAACCCGCCCACGTCATGCTGCGGCGTAGCCGCCCTCGCGAGATCCGACACCTCCCGCACGCTCGCCCTCCTCAAATCCCCGACCAACCCGCTCGCCACCCTCTCCGCGGCCCTTGTTGCGCTGCCCAGGCCCTGCTCGTCCACGAGCGCGATACAATCCGCCATCATCATCGCCGCGAGGAGCCAGTGGCCCAGCAGACAAATGTACCAGCTTTGGATCTTGGAGGGGATCGCATCGTGGTGCTCGATGCAGTCTCGGAACAGGGGGCCGTACATCATGTTCCAGTGGCGGTACACCGCCAGCCCGTCTTGGATTGCGTCCTCGATGGACTTTGGGGACGCGGAGCCGCGGGACGAGAGGGCTTGGATGCGTGTGATTTTGCGGAAGAGGAGGACTTTGACGGGGGCTGCGTCGCGGAGTTCGCGCTCGAATGTGTCGGTGGGGCAGGGCCAGCGGAGGGGGGCGAGTTTCTGGTTGCGTTTGATGATGAATTGGTCGTTCCAGCTTTCTGCGGATGGGATCGCTACCGGGATGGTGTCGTCGTCTTCGCCTTTGCAAGGCGGTGAGTTTTGCTTCTTTGCTGTTGCTGTCTCGCGGCTGTCTTCGTCCGAGACGACGGGCGGTCTGTCGGAGATGGCGGAGGATAGGGTGTCGAACATGATGGCGAGCCAAAAGAGCATCTTCATCGTCGCTTTTTCTTCGCCGTGGGCATCTTCTCCGCCACCGACAGCCCATCCTGATTCGGTCCTCGCGTTGGCGGTCCCGCGTGCTTTTACTCTCTTCCTCCTCTCAAAGTTTTCAGACCTGCGCTTGAGAACGTGCAGGCGCCGGGCGCCGCGCTCGACGTAGAGCGAGTACCCTTCCTCGTCCAGCGCCGTCTGCACCTTTTCCTTTGTCCCCGGCGTCTCCCAGTCGTTCCCGTCTCCGTTGGTGTAATCGTACCCCAGCTGACTCTGACCAACCATCCCTTCGCTAAACTCCCACCCGATCCCCTCCGCGCTCTCTTGGTTCTTCTGCGTGAGGCCAAAAAGGAGCTCCGCCATGGCCACCTTGAACGAGTCCACGCCCGCGCAGTCGTCCAGACACCGCTGCGCCTGGTTCCAAAATGATATCTGCAGCGCCGTGTCGAATTCCTGTTCGGTCCCCGGCACGGACGAGTCCCCGAAGCCGTTTGGCTTCTGGTACCGCGCTTGACTCCGTTGACTTCCCTGTGCCCACTGCGCCGTGAATGCCATGATGGCGAGATGTAGCGCTCTCGTGGCCTTTCGGTCTTCGGATACGCTGAGCGATTTCAGACCCAGCGAGGCGAGGGATTTATCGAGCTTGAAGACGCGGCGGTAAATCCTGTTGGGCAGATTGAGATGAATCTGCGTCGGGTCGTGACTTCGCGCGTCGCCGAGACTCGAGCGCTCCAGCTGTGTGGGGGTTAGGATGTAGGGACAGTTCTGCTCCACCAGCCAGCACGAGAGCGCGCCCTCCATGACGTCGTGGTACAGCTTCATGAGGTTATCCGTCATGAGCGTCTGATTTGTCCGCGCAATCAGCGCCTGCGTGGCCGAGTACTCTGAGATCCCAGCACCGCCAGGTGGCGCATAGTTCATGGCGTGCGTCTGCTGCCACGCCCTCTTGCGGGCATTCGGGTCGATGCCCATGGTTGAACAAGTCGAGTCCGGGCTGAGGCTGATGGTCGAGGCACCGTGCATGGAGACGAGATCGGCGTCGTCGAAGCCTGGTAGCTCATCTGAGAGACAGCTGGGCGCTGAGAGGGATGAGGGGCCCGGGAAGAGGAGCGAGGCGGCGTCGTCGGCGGATGGGTCGAAGGTGAGGTGCTCGTCGGCGGGGGATAGCGTGAATAGGTTTTGGGGAAATCCAAAGTCGTTTGCTACTGCTGCTGCTGCTGCTCCGCCAAAGGCATGTGAGCTTGGCGTCTCGTGGGTGAATGATGCGACATGATCCGGGATGAGTGACTGAAGCTCGGCGAGTTGGGCCTCACTCAGAACTGATGGACCTTGGGATGCTGGCGATACAGAGGCTTTGTTGCTGTTGCTGCTGTCGTTGTTGACCTTCTTGCAGTGAGTTGACTTGACCCTCTTCCGACTCGGCGCGGCGGAAGCGGAGGCGGAGCCGGCAGCGGCAGCAGCAGCGGTCTTCTCGGCGGACTGCCTTCGGACCCGGAGCTGGGCCTGCTGTGACCGGGCCCAGTTGAATGTGCACGACTTGCGCGTCTTTGAACAGTTTGAGCACGGCCCGTTCATGCTCTGCCAGTCTGTTCGTCAAGAAATTAGTCCCGGGGTTGAAGACAGAGTGGTTCGTTGTCTCATTGCTCAATTCACTCTGTGCTACCTACCAACCTCCCATTGAAGGTCTGCATCCAGACACAGCTGGATATCCTTGAGGGCGCCCGCGTCGCAGGCCCTCTTGCCCTTGCGACATTGGTCGCAGCTGCTATTCTGCCGTCTCATCGCATTCGCGTATCGTCGGTTATCGTGATGCTTCTCACACGGCTCGGTGGGTATGTGTCAAGGTGAGGTGAGATGAGATTTCAATGTGGAGGTTGAGCCAGGTTGTGAGGCGGAGATTCGAGACAATCGAAGCTGGAAAAGAAGGGGTGGGTGTGGTCCTCCAGCTGTCTCCAGTTTCTTTTTGCCCCCCTCAAGGCCCCAACAAAGAAAAATCCCCGCTAGTTCCAAAACTCGTGACCAGTCAAATCCCCCGGCCATCCGAAACGACGTCGTCACGGGGAGGTCCCTGTCGCCAAAACCCCGCGTTTTTTTCCCCTTCTCACCTTTCTTAGACTCTAGCGTTGCCTGCGTCAGCAAGGGAAAAGAAAGCGGGGTGCATACGGTGAGTTTGCCAGTTGGTTCATGTTTGCCCCCGCAGATCCTCTTCTTCTTCTGCGAGGAGATTCCGTCTCTGGTGTGTGCCAGTTGCCAAGTCCGGTGTTGGCTGGTCTGGGGGAACCAGGGTTGGGATGGGATCCGGGGAAAAGAAAGGGAGGGGGCTTCCCCATCCTCCGGAAGCGAGAGCTGTCAACCCCGGATTCCATTGCTTTCGGTGAACCTTACGAGGCACAGGTTCAAGGGATCCAACGGTTTGGTTAGACGTTCTTGAAGCTTACCATGTTGTTGGCTGCATTCTTCAACCGTCAGGACGTTCCTTATGGGAAAATCAGCCCACTTTGAGGTCGTCTTGCAGTTGCATCCTACCTAGGCACCTGGGTAAGCCAATGGCGAGCTGGACATCCCTCATGCACTGAGTCTCTGGCAATGGAATTGGTTCAAGACCTTCTCACATATTACTAGCTTCATTCTGGTGAAAGGGGGCCAATAGGAAATCATCCATACATGGAAATCTGTTTCCGAAAATTCCGATGAGAAACAAGCCTCATCAGTAGGAGAACGACGCGAACCCGCGGAAACACAGTGTTTAGACTGAGATTCTGAGAATCGTTCATCATCATAGACATCACGCACTCAGCCCCTTATACACAGCAGCCTCAACCTGCGCCCAGAGCCCCATGACCGAAGCGTCGCCAAACGGCAGAATCTGCGAGCACACGATCCCGGCCACCCCGTTCTCCCGGTCGCACCACCAGAACAGGTTCGGCAGCCCAGCCCACCACGCCGTCCCGCTCGAGCGCCCCGTCGGCCCGCCCGTGATCATGAACGTCAGGCCCCAGCCCTGCGGCGGGTTGCCCGGGATCGGGTAGAGCTCCGGGATCCCGTTTGTCAGCTCCGGTTTCGCAGCCTGGACGCCCTGTCGGGCAAAGTCTGGGAACTTTGAGATTTGGTTAGAGAACATTTCGTCTACCGTCTCCTTTTTCAGGATTTGGGCTTTTGTGATGGGGCAGGTTCCATCGTTGAGGAAGACTGCCAGGATGCCTGTAGAGAATCATTCAATTAGTCCTCTGATAGTTTGGCATGGTTCCGGCAAGAGGCGTAGCACGTACGGGTGTATTCTTGAGGCTTTGCAAAGATGCCGGCGCCGCCGCTGTTGAAGCAGGCGCGGATCTCCTCCTCTGACTGCACGATCAACGGACGATGGAGAGGGTGGTCTCTGTGGACCAACTTGCCGTCGGGCCGCTTGTAGTGCATGTACGCCAACTGCGCCTTCATCGAGGGTGTCGGAATCATGTTGACGTTCTTGAGGCCCAGAGGCTGGCAGACGCTGGCCTGGATGTAGTCGTTCAGACTCATGTTCGTGGCCCGCTCCAGGGCGATGCCAGCCCAGTCAATGCCGACCTGCAAATCCGAGTTAGAAACCATGGTCTCGATAGTGCTAATTCCAAAGCTTCACTTACGCCGTACTCCCAGCCCTCACCCGGCTGGAACAGCAAAGGCTGCACCATATCCCTCACACTCCCCGAGAACTCATCAATCCCCGCTGGCAGACTCCAATCGCGCAGCCGCTCGCTGAAGAAAGTATACCCGAACCCAGCCGTGTGCGTCAGCAGCATGCGGAGCGTGATGCCGCGCTTCTTGTCAACGAGCTTGCCCTCGGGCGTCAGGACCTTGATGTCGGCCAGCTCCGGGCAGAGCTTCTCCAGGTGGTCCGCGTCGTCGAGGCTCAGCTGGCCCTTCTCGACGAGCTGCATGCACGCAATGCCGACCACCATTTTCGTGCACGAGGCGATCCAGTACACGCTGTCCAGGGTCATGGGCTCCGAAGAGTCGACGCCCCGGGTGCCGGCGGCATGGGCGAATTGTTCGGTGCCGGTGCGGTCGATGACCACTACGGTTGTTCCGGGGATGCCGGTGGGGGAGGTTGTGACGGCATTGTCTACGATGCCTTTGATTTCGTTGACTGCTTGTGATGAGAGAGGCATTTTCGAGTGTGAGAGTATGTGAGTTTGCTATGGTGTGAGTGAGATGGCGTGTGAAGATAAATGAGATGAACGGCTCATGTGAGGAAGGAGGGGTGTGTGAGTGAGTTCAGATTCCACAGCAGACACACGAGAAGACCACAGAGATGATCAATTCGGCCGAGCTTCGCCTTGGCAATCTGCGCCTATCCTTTTCCAAAGCAGTCATGTCGGTGCGGTAGCATTAAATACGGGGACCCATCGTCTCAGCTGCAGGCCCAAAGAAGAAGCGCAACGCACGCAAGTTGACGAAAGAGATGCAAACCTTAGTCCTTTAGTCATTTCAACCGCGTCCAACCTCGGCCCACCACGACCACCATCAGCACGCACTTTGGGCGGCACCTATTCCGGACTTGGGGGGCAGATCAACTTCTCCAAGTTTGATTCGTCTCGAGACATGGACCATCCCTCCCTCCCCACGATGCGAATCTGAGAGTTTGGCCTTCCCCGCAAAGCGGTTGTGAGAACAGTAGTGTCACGGCAGTTGCGGATCCGCTCCACGGCCGCAGCGGCTCTCCGCATTTCACTGTGACATCCCGTCTTGTTTGAATCCTCCTCCATCCAGTATCCGCTCATCGCCTTGCCTGCAGGGCGGATCCGCAGCGGCTCCTCCTTTCGAAGTCTTCTCCTCCCTTCGGTGTGATGCGGGGATGTGCAGACGCGACGACGAGGCTGGTGTTTGAGTGTTTGAGGGGAAATGATATGCGGACTTCGACGTGTTTTGCTGCATGTCTGGGGTGAGTACGACCTCGCCGGGTGATGCGGGATAGAGAGCATCTATCTGCTGCGGCCTTATGCGTCCAACGTTGCTCTGAGGGCCTCGGCGTCTGCGGCCCCTCCACGGACGATAGCAGTATCTTTGATGGGGATATCGATGCAATGCCACGAATGCGGGCAGACGTTGCTGCGGAGAATGTAACTGCGGTTGCCTCTTCCAAGGTATCCGTACATGATGTTGGAGTACAGTGTCCCCATGGGAGTGCTCTGGGGATGCTCTAGGGATACCCGTTGTAGTCGTCTGATGTCACGTAAAGCAACACGTCTCATGCGAAACGAACTGGATAAGGTAGACTTCAGTATGTCGTCACACGAGGCTATAAGAAGCATTGAACTCCCTCGACTCTGTGTGCAAATTGAATAAATTGGACGAAAGAGCAGTGTTCATCGTGCTTCAACACCCTTCATATCATTATTATCCTCGTTTGACATTTACTTCTGAGAATTTGATATTGCAGATTCCAGACATGGCTACGATTACAGCTACCCAGCAAAAGAAATTTGCGACCGATCTGACGGACTATGCCAAGCGTCGTCAGACAGACGGACCCTACGCTGATAACCTCGATGTAGATGTTCTCATCGTAGGCGGTGGATTTGGTGAGTGATCAAACCGCAAATCTTACCTAGTGATCACCTTCAAATACTAACATGATCATCAAAGGCGGAGTCTTTATGCTCAAGACTCTCCGGGAGATGGGCCTACGAGCAGTCATCTACGAAGCCGGAACCTCATTCGGAGGAACCTGGCGTTGGAACCGCTACCCTGGTGCCCGAGTCGACTCAGAGGTCCCAGAGTATGAGTTCTCGTGGCCCGAGGTGTTCAAGGACTGGACGTGGTCAACCAATTACCCTAATTACCAGGAGCTTCGTCAGTACTTTGATCACGTTGACAAGGTCAGTCCACACAAGATAATTCCAAGGGATACACTTGAACAAAAGCTAAGATATATGTCACGCAGGTCTTGGATCTCTCCAAAGACTGCTCATTCGATACCGTCGTCACCGGCGCCCAATTCCAACCAGACGAAGGCAAATGGCACGTAAAGACCGCCGACGGCCGCCTGGCAAAGAGCAAGTACTTTGTCGTCGCAGCCGGTTTCGTAAGTCAAACCCCCTTCTCACTCCTCACGTTGGACATGAACTAACCATCAAAACTCTAGGCCTCAAAACGCTACATCCCCAACTGGCCCGGAGTCGAAAAATTCAAGGGCGTAGTCCACCACTCCTCCTTCTGGCCCGAAGAAGACGTACCCGTCCGCGGCAAGCGCTGCGCCGTCATCGGCACCGGCGCCTCGGGCGTCCAAATCTGCCAGGAATGGGGCAAAGCCGTCGGCGAGAGCGGCGAGCTCAAGGTCTTCCAGCGCACGCCGAACCTGGCGGTGCCGATGGGCAAGCGCAACCTCACGGCGCAGGAGCAGAACATCGGCAAGGAGTGGTACCCGCGCCTCTACCAGCTGCGCGAGAAGTGCTTCGGCGGCTTCTTCTACGGCATGGTGGAGCGCAACACCTTTGACGACTCGCCTGAGGAGCGGGAGGCGTTTTATCGGCAGCTGTGGGAGCACGGCGGGTTCCGGTTCTGGTTGGGGAATTACAAGGATATGTTGTTTGATGCGGATGCAAACAAGGAGGCGTACGACTTTTGGGCGAGGAACGTGCGGACGCGGATTGGGGATGCGAGGAAGAGGGATATTTTGGCGCCAAAGGTGGACAAGATGCCGCATTTCTTTGGCGTCAAGAGGCCTTGCTTGGAGCAGAACTACTATGAGCAGTTCAACAAGGCCAATGTGGACGTTGTCGACATTAGCAAGAACGAGATTGACA